TTGTAGCCACCCACCTGAACCTGTTGTTGTAGCCACCCACCTGAACCTGTTGTTGTAGCCACCCACCTGAACCTGTTGTTGTTGTAGGCACGGTGTCCGGGAGGTAACTTGAGAGAGGGTCACAGGGGTCAAAGGTCACTATCCCATGACCCATTATTTCTTGTTCCTTTTTTCTGCCTTCAGTTTTACCCATTAATATTTAATATTCTGTAGGATTAGGCGTGTGTGTGTGTGTGTGTGTTCGTTCTTGGCAGCCGAACCGGCACAATCGTTTTTCATCAAACTTGTGGAAAAATGGCAAAAAATCGTTGAGCGGAACTAACCTGACCCATATCGATGGTTTCTTTAGGAAGCCATTACATAACCATTTTATTTATGCTGGCAAAGATGTCGCTGTACGCTGTCTGCCGGCCTGACGATTGCATAATTATCGTCGTGGCTCCTCCTCCTCCCCGTCTTTTTTTCTTAGCCTACTTTTTTTAATGTTGTTGGATTAGTAAAGGAAGGAAGATGAGTAAATAGAAGAATCAAGAAGGGGAAACAGAAAATAGTTAGAGATAACAGGTGGGGGAGCTGAGTTTCATCATGCGTCTGGATGCGCAGTTTCAACGTTACCAGACGACCTTACAGCTACAGTGTATACTTATTCATGTGGCTCATGGAAAAGGAGAAGAGATAAAAGATAATAACAAGAATGCATGGAGAAGATGACTACAAAGACACAGGTGAATATAGACAGTGAAACAGACAGGAGGTTGACAAAATAGACAGATTCATACATGCACAAAAGGACAAATGGCAACTAACATGACAGACAGACAGCTGACTGACTGGTTCACATTAGACAAACAGGCAGACACACGCCAACAACGGAGAAGACAGACATTTGACCACACAAAGAGTACAGACGGGCTTACATTCAAACACCACGCAGACGAACAGTCAGTTGGGATGGCAATAGACAGGACGGATAGACTTAAGACAGATTAGAAGGCATTTAAACAGGAATAACACCAAATTGACCATAGCTGCATCAGTGAGGGTAGGAGGTCTTACATCCACCAGCGTAAATAATAAGTCGCATTGAAAACTAACACCCTCGCGCGGAAAGAACATCGATGGTCGGTCAGTCATGTGAGATGGGCCTACAACTGACTAACGTAGATGATGACTTAACACAGGTGATGACTTAAGCAGATGGTGACTAATATAACAAGAATCAAGGTCACTTCTCTTCAGAATATAATTTATCTCGGAATGATAATCGGTGATTCATAATAATTTATTTTTAATGATTTTAACCTCTCCTTATGGCGAATATTTCATTAATTAATTATTCTCACCTGTATTTTATTCCTTCTTATAGTATATTAGATACTGTAAGTATCACGACCACGACGATGATTATAACAACCACGACCATGATTATAACAACCACGACCATGATTATAACAACCACGACATTGATTATAACAACCACGACTATGATTATAACAACTGCGACCGTGATTATAACACCCACGACCATGATTATAACAACTACGACAATGATCATAACTCGACCATGATTATAACCACGACTATGATTGTAACAACCACGACCATGATTATAACAACCACGACCATGATTATAACACCTACGACCATGACTATAACACCTACGACCATGATTATAACAACCACTACTATGATTATAACACCCACGACCATGATTATAACAACCACGACTATGATTATAACAACCACGACCATGATTATAACAACCACGACTATGATTATAACAACCACGACCATGATTATAACAACCATGACTATGATTACGACAACCACGATTATGATTATAACACCCACGACCATGATTATAACAACCACGACATGATTATAACAACCACGACCATGATTATAACAACCACGACCATGATTATAACAACCACGACCATGATTATCTCATATACTATAGGAATAGCTGTGTGTGTCTGTTCTGGGCAGCCGAAACGGTACAATCATTTTTCATCAAACTGGTAAAAATCGCAAAAAATTCGTATAGTGGAACAAACCTGGTCCCATGTCGATGGTTTTTAGAAAGGTAATTAACCATTTTATTTACGCTGGAAAACGATGTCGCTGTACGCTGCTAGCCTTCCGGCGGTTGTGCGCTGCCACGAGCATTCGAACTTTTACGCTGGTAAACTGTACCACCGACTCACCACCGGGCACGAAGTGCCCATTATCACTTGTATCACATATGTACAGGACTGGTATTACCTGGCTATAAATAACACTTTAAAATAGTCCAACCTCTCACACCCAAAACACTGGCCCTGCTTTTCTGTCTTGCTGTCCAGCATTCATAGCATCATAACACATCATCACTATAGTTCACATCATCACTACACACTTCATAGCATCATGACACATCATCACTATAGTTCACATCATCACTACACAGTTCATAGCATCATGACACATCATCACTATACTTCACATCATCACTAACCAGTTCATAGCATCAAGACACATCATCACTACAGTTCACATTATATCTACACAATTCATAGCATGACACATCATCACTATAGTTCACATCATCACTACACAATTCATAGCTTCCTGACACATTGTTCACATCATCACTACACAATTCATAGCATCATGATACATCATCACTATAGTTCACATCATCACTACACAGTTCATAGCATCATGACACATCATCACTGTACTTCACATCATCACTACACAGTTCATAGCATCATGACACATCATCACTATACTTCACATCATCACTAACCAGTTCATAGCATCAAGACACATCATCACTACAGTTCACATCATCACTACATACTTCATAGCATCATGACACATCATCACTATACTTCACATCATCACTACACAATTCATATCATCATAACACATCATCACTATAGTTTACATCATCACTACACAGTTCACAGCATCATGACACATCATCACTATAGTTCACATCATCACTTCACAGTTCATAGCATCACTACACAATTCAGAGCATGACACATCATCACTATAGTTCACATCATCACTACACAGTTCATAGCATCATGACACATCATCACTATAGTTCACATCATCACTACACAATTCATAGTATCATGACACATTGTTCACATCATCACTACACAATTCATAGCATCATGACACATTGTTCATATCATCACTACACAATTCATAGCATCATGACACATCATCACTACAGTTCACATCATCACTACACAGTTCATAGCATCATGACACATCATCACTATACTTCACATCATCACTACACAATTCATAGCATCATAACACATCATCACTATCGTTCACATTATCACTACACAGTTCATAGCATCATGACACTTCATCACTATAGTTCACATCATCACTACACAGTTCATTGCATCATGACACATCACTATAGTTCACATCATCACTACACAGTTCATAGCATCATGACACATCATCACTACACAATTCATAGCATGACACATCATCACTATAGTTCACATCAACACTATAGTTCACATCAACACTATAGTTCACATCATCACTACACAGTTCATACCATCATGACACATCATCACTATAGTTCACATCATCACTACACAATTCATAGTATCATGACGCATTGTTCACATCATCACTATACAATTCATAGCATCAAGACACATTGTTCACATCATCACTACACAATTCATAGCATCATCACACATTGTTCATATCATCACTACACAATTCATAGCATCATAATGCATCATCACTATAGTTCACATCATCGCTACACAATTCATAGCATCATGACACATCATCACTATAGTTCACATTATCACTACACAATTCATAGCATCATGACACATTGTTCACATCATCACTACACAATTCATAGCATCATAATGCATCATCACTATAGTTCACATCATCACTACACAGTTCATAGCATCATGACACATCATCACTATAGTTCACATCCTCACTCCACAGTTCATTGCATCATGACACATCATCACTATAGTTCACATCATCACTACACAGTTCATAGCATCATGACACATCATCACTATAGTTCACATCCTCACTCCACAGTTCATTGCATCATGACACATCATCACTATAGTTCACGTCATCACTACACAGTTCATAGCATCATGACACATCATTTCTTTAGTTCACATCATCACTACACAGTTCATAGCATAACAGCATATCATTACTAAGTTTACTTCCTCACTACACATAAATCACGACACATAACTCCACAGTTCATAGCATCATGACACATCATCACTATAGTTCACATCCTCACTACACAGTTCATAACATCATGACACATCATCACTATAGTTCACGTCATCACTACACAGTTCATAGCATCACTTAGCTCTGTACTAATGGGGAGGCTCTTACTACATTTATTCACAGATGCCTGAGGTGCCTGGGGCTCCTCGGGTGCCTGTATTATATTTCTATAAAACTTAATTTTATTGAACAAAATGGCTGATCTACACAAAAGATTTTTACAAGAATCCGTTAGCCAACTCAGTCGCATGGACGACGAGTTAGCTGAGGCGCACAAAAATATAAGTGCTATCAAAATAGTGGGCTTCGGTGTTAGTGTCGAGATACCCCCCAACACAAACCTCAACTTTGTGTTGGATAAAATAAAAGATTTGGAAGTCCTCAGAAACCACAATAGAACCATTGTGGAAGCATGCGTCTACCTCCGATAGAAGGTAAGCAAGCTAAACTATATCCCAGACAATGGCGTAATATATTATTTTTCCGCCCTGTGCGGAAAACAAACTAAGAAAGGTTATGATAAATTTGAATATGTCGTGTATCCTCCATTGGAGTTGTTCGACTTCAAAATATTCTTTACAAAAGACTTGTTTAATACAGAAACGTTGAAAAAGTTACATAATTTTTGTGCTAACTCGCTGGCGAGTATCGCCAAGCGCCTGGCCCCCTGCCCCCATGTAGATGACGCTCTCATGGTGGTCACCAAAGGGGACGCTCCCCACGCGGTCGCCGAAAGGGACGCTTCCCAGGTGGTCGCCGAAGGGGATGCTCCCCAGGCCGTCGCCGAAGAGGACACTCCCCAGCTCGTCGCCGAAGGGGACGTTCCCCAGGCCGTCGCCGAAGAGGACGCTCCCCAGGCCGTCGCCGAAGGTGACTCTCCCCAGGCCGTCGCCGAAGAGGACGCTCCCCAGGCCGTCGCCGAAGAGGACGCTCCCCAGGCCGTCGCCGAAGGCGCTCCCCAGGCCGTCGCCGAAGAGGACGCTCCCAGGCCGTCGCCGAGGACGCTCCCCAGACCGTCGCTGAAGGCCTTCCCAAACCGTCGGCAGGGACGGTACCAAAGGCCGTCGCCGAAGGACGCTCCCCCAGGCCGTCGCCGAAGGGGACGCTCTCCGGAAGCCGTCGCCGAATGGGACGCTCCCCAGGCCGTCGCCGGGGGACGCCCCCAGGCCGTCTCTCGCCAGAGGACGCTCCCCAGGCCGTCGCCGAAGGGGACGCTCCCCAGGCCGTCGCCGAAGGGGACGCTCCCCAGGCCGTCGCCGAAGGGGACGCTCCCCAGGCCGTCGCCGAAGGGGACGCTCTCCAGGCCGTCTCCGAATGGGACGCTCCCCAGGCCGTCGCCGAAGGAGACGCCTCCCAGGCCGTCGCCGAAGGGGACGCCCCCCAGGCGGTAGCCGAACAGGACACTCCCCAGGTGGTCGCCGAAAAGGACGTTCCCCAGGTGGTCGCTGAAGGGGACGTTCCCAAGGCGGTCACCGAAGGGGATGCTCCCAAGGAAGTCACCGAAGGGGACGCCCCTCAGGCTATCGCCGAGGGGGAATCTCCCCAGGAGGTCACCGAAGGGGACGCCCCCCAGGCCATCGCCGAGGGGGACGCTCCACAGGAGGTCACCGAGGGGGACGCTCCCCAGGCGGTCACCGAAGGGGACGCTCCCCAGGCGGTCACCGAAGGGGACGCTCCCCAGAAGGTCGCCGAATGGGACGCTCACCAGGCCGTCGCCGAGAGGGACACTCCCCAGGCGGTCACCGACGGGGACGCTCCCCAGAAGGTCGCCGAATGGGACGCTCACCAGGCCGTCGCCGAGAGGGACGCTCCCCAGGCGGTCACCGAAGGGGACGCTCCCCAGAAGGTCGCCGAATGGGACGCTCACCAGGCCGTCGCCGAGAGGGACACTCCCCAGGCGGTCACCAAAGAGGAAGCTCCCCAGGCTGTCACCGGAGGGAAAGCTCCCCGTAGAGCTGCTGTCCAAATGCCCTGGGCCAATAAACCAATTCACCAGGCCAAGAATACCTTGGTCCCAGGGGCCCAAGGTAATCTAAAATCAAAGGCTGAGCACGCACCAAACAGAGTGGCAGAAGCCCGTAAAGCTGCTGCCCAACAGGGCCGGGCCATGGTCAAGGCTCGCCGGTTGAAAACAGCTATAAAACAAAAGTGATGACTAATCCCCGTTGTTTTATTTATTTGTTTATGTTTTTGTGTAAACTAAAAATAAAGTATGAATTAATATTATTTGTATTATTACTCCACAAATATCTTATAAAGCAACTCCTGTATACAGCTCTTACTGCACTTACTTATATCACACACGCAAAACACTGGCCCTGCTTTTCTGTTTTGCTGTCCAGGCATTTTTCTGGTTTGTATGTGTAAGAAAGGTTAACATTCTCTTTGCCTCTCATTACTAAAGACAATATTTGTGTTTCTCATAAAGTTTGTACCTAAAGGTTAAATATTATCGTGATGTTGCTGTGTCGTCCAGCCATTTTCTCTATATTTTGGTCGGTCAATAAACAATTATATATTATGCTTAGGTTAGGTTATAGTAATTACAGAAACAACGACAACAATGACATACTACTACTACCACTACTACTACTACAGCAACTACTACTACCACGACTACTACTACAATTTCTTTTTTCAAAACGTGGCCTCCAGCCTCGCCCAATAGCCATACCTTCGCCGCCATTTTATTACCTTAATATTAAATATCCTAATACATAAGTAGCTATCCTATCTGTGTTGAATTAGTTGAGCCGCAGATCTATGCGGCATTCAGTGACTGTAGCCTCATAGTCATTATCTGCAGCTGTTGTCGGCATTGAGGCAGAAGCTCTCGTTCCCCTGAGGCAAAGCAAAGCCGACCTAAGGAGAGAGAAAGACAGTCGACATCTCATCCAGGCTGTAACATAACTTCTGGGCTGCTGCTTCTGTTCGGAGATCACCTCCGCTAGTCTGGCGTAGAAGCATCTTGCACTTGGTCGCATCCCACCAGAGGTTGTGAACACTAAAGGAGTGAAGCTGCCTTGATCAACGTTTTGAGTTATCTCCCCATATGCCCTTCTCTTGTCTCTACTATTATCCTTCCATTAATATATAAATACCATTATTCCTCTCCCTTACACACTCTCCCTGCTCTCCTTCATTCTCCATCAATTTCCTTACCTCCTCTACCTCCCTCCCTCCCTCCCTCCCTCCCTCCCTCCCTTTCTCCTCCCATCCCCACACTCCCCTCCTCCCTCCACCTCCCTCCCTGCCCCTGCCTCCACTCCTCCTCCCTCTCCTCTGTCCTCCTCTGACCTTCCTCCTCCCTCTCTCCATTCCCTCCTTTGCAGTCCCTCCTCCCCTCCCTCATTCCCTCCCCCTCTACAGTCCTTCACTCCTCCTCCATCTCCTTCCTCTGCCTTCCCTCTCCCTCCCCTCCTCTGCTCGTCTCCTCTACTCCACATTCTCCCTCCCCTCCATCCCCTCCTCCCCCTCTCCCTCACTCTACCCCCTCCCCCCCATCTCCTTCACACATACAACCCCAGTTGGCTCACCTTGACAACACTACACCGAATCCAATCTCACATATATTTCTTTTCTACAGCTTTGGTGCCGTCAGCTGTTGCTAGAAATCCGGCCATTGGCTTCTCTAGCCTTTTTTCATGATACAGAGCGTTCTATTGGCTCTCCTGACTAGACCTCGGGTTACAGAGCGTTCTATTGGCTCTCCTGACTAGACCTCGGGTTACAGAGATTCCTATTGGCTTTCCTGACTAGACCTCGGGTTACAGAGCGTCCAATTGGCTCTCCTGACTAGACCTTCTGTTACAGTGCGTCCTATTGGCTCTCCTGACTAGACCTCGCGTGACAAAGACTCCCATTGGATCTTCTGACTAGACCTCGCGTTACAGAGACTCTTATTGGTTAATTCTGACCTCTCCTTATGTTACAGAGGATTCTATTGGATAGTGTGTGTGTGTGTGTCCCCGCCCACTTATTATCAAAAGCCACCTATGGTTATTCTGATCTCTCCGCGTGCTACTGAATACTTTCTATTGGTTATTTAACACCGTGTTCGTATTACAGCGCCTCCCATTGGCTATTTAAGGCTCGGCTCGTGTTTCCAGAGTTGTCGTAATTGATTGACAAAGGGACGAGGAAGGTTAAATATTGACCTTAGTTGATGAAGCGTCTAATCTCGACCTATTCCTTCCACCCTCTCTAAATTCCTCTGTTTCCCACACCCCTTATTTCGTCTCCCTTCTTTACTCCCCCTCCGTTATCTCTTACCATTTCCTTCCTCTCCCCACCTTCATCATCTCCTCTCCATCCCCTTTCTCTTCTACTGTCTCACATCTCTTTTTTTTTCGTTCTTCTCATCCCTTCCTCTCTTTTCTTTCTTTCCTCCCTATCTGTTTTTCCTTTCTTCTCTCTCTCTCTCTCCTTTCTCTGCTCCCTCCCATCCCTCCCTCCTTTCTTCCATCTTTCCCTCTCCTTTCTCTTTTTCTCATTCTCCCACCGCCTCTCTGCACCCTCCCTCTCATCTATTCTCTCTCTTATTCCTCTTTCCTCTTCTCGCCCACTCTTCCTCTTGATTTCATTTCTCCTTCCTTACTCTCTCTCCCTTCTCACTTCGTACTATCTCTTACTCTCCCTTTTTCTCCCTAACTCTCTCCCTACTCTTTTTTTCATATTCTCCTTCCTCTCCCTCACTCCCCCTCCCCCCGCTCTCACTCTTTCTCTCCCTTCCCTCCTTTCTCCCAGCTATCAGGTTTCTTTCCTAACATGATCAAGACAAAAGGTTTTCAAGTACCTGAGAGTCGTTTATGTAATCTCTCTCTCTCTCTCTCTCTCTCTCTCTCTCTCTCTCTCTCTCTGTGCCTCTTCCATTTTCTGTCTTATCTCTGCCTTTTTATGCCTTCCTCACCTCCTTCCACTCAACCTCTTATACCTTACCTTTCCCTTCCTCTTACCTTTCCTTTTCCCGATCACTTTCATTCTTTACCTTTCTTTTTTTCTCTCCCCACCCCTGTCTCTCTTTCCTCTAATTCCTCTCGCTTCTTTTCCACCTTCCTCTTACATCTGTTCCACCTTCTTCTCATTCCTCTTCCACCTTCTTCTCATTCCTCTTCCACCTTCTTTTCATTCCTCTTCCATCTTTGTCTCACTTCTGTTCCAACTCCTTCTCATTCTCTTCTTTCCCTGTCACCTATCATCCATCTTTCCCTTTCACACCTTGCTTTCCCCTTCCTTTCACCTCTCACTCATCTTCCTTCCTTCCCTCTTGCCCCTTTCATTTCCTAACATTCTCACCCAATACTCTTCGTCCTTTCTTTCACTCCTCCCTCCTTTTCCCTCTCATCCCTCACCAATCCTTTTTCCGTCACTTTCCCTTTCCAGTCTCTCTCTAACTCTTTTGTTTTGTTTTTGTTTACCATCAACAAGACACAATACAGTACCGTTCCATCATTCCCTCTCCCACAATTCCTTCACACGTGTTCAGATTGTTGACAGAATTTCCTAGACACTTTGGTAAACAAGTGGGATTTTAACCTCAATTTGTACGGATTTTTATGTTTTTTTTTTTTAGTTTTAGTTGTATAATAGAATTTTATTTGTTTGTTAATGTTGTTGTTGTTATTTGTCACGAGAAATAGTTATATATTTGTTTGTTTGTTTGTTAATGTTATTGTTATTTGTTAACATAAGTTTAGAGTTTACTATTGAGAAGTTAAGTTTATTATATGATTCAAGGATATATGTCAGATATGGTCAGGTTTTCCAGGGAATTTTGGCTTCATGTGTACAGAATATTTGGGTTCTGTTTGTTACTCTCTGTTCCCTTCCCTTCCCATTATTTCAGTGAGGGAAAAGAGGGAAAGGGGAGGTTAGGTTAGGATAGGATTGTAAAATTAGGTTAGGTCACCTTCCTCATCTACTTCCTCTTTTTCCTCTTTCCTTCCCTCACCTTCATCCTCTTTCTTCCCTCCTCCATGTCCCCTTCCTCTGACTTACCCTCTCTTTCTCCCTTTTCTTCCCTCATCTTTCTCCCCTTTCTTCCCTCTCACCACGACCATGATTATAACAACCACGACTGTAATCATAACCACGACATTGATTATAACAACCACGACTATGATTATAACAACTGCGACCGTGATTATAACAACTACGACAATGATCATAACCACGACCATGATTATAGCAACCACGACTATGATTGTAACAACCACGACCATGATTATAACAACCACGACCATGATTATAACACCTACGACCATGACTATAACACCTACGACCATGATTATAACAACCACTACTATGATTATAACAACCACGACTATGATTATAACAACCACGACTATGATTATAACAACCATGACTATGATTATGACAACCACGATTATGATTATAACACCCACGACCATGATTATAACAACCACGACCATGATTATAACAACCACGACCATGATTATAACAACCACGACCATGATTATAACACCACGACCATGATTAACAACCACGACTATGATTATAACAACCACGACCATGATTATAACAACCATGACTATGATTATGACAACCACGATTATGATTATAACACCCACGACATGATTATAACAACCACGACCATGATTATAACAACCACGACCATGATTATAACAACGACCATGATTATAACAACCACGACCTCATTATAACAACCGACCATGTTTTCTCATATACTATAGGAATAGCTGTGTTGAGTTCTGTTCTGGGCAGCCGAAACGGCACAATCATTTTTCATCAAACTTGGTGGAAAAATCGCAAAAACTCGTATAGTGGAGCAAACCTGGTCCCATGTCGATGGTCTCTTTAGGAAGACATTAATTAACCATTTTATTTACGCTGGAAAACGATGTCGCTGTACGCTGCTAGCCTTCCGGCGGTTGTGCGCTTTCCGCAGGCATTCGAACTTTTACGCTTTGGTAAACTGTACCGACGGACTCACCACCGGGCACGAAGTGCCCACGATCACTGTATCACATATGTACAGGACTGGTATTACCTGGCTATAAATAACACTTTAAAATACACCTTCTTAATTCATAGCATCATAATGCATCATCACTATAGTTCATCATCACTACACACAATTCATAGCATCATGACACATCATCACTATAGTTCACATTATCACTACACAATTCATGTCATGACACATTGTTCACATCATCACTACACAATTCATAGCATCATAATGCATCATCACTATAGTTCACATCATCGCACACACAGTTCATAGCATCATGACACATCATCACTTTATAGTTCACATCCTCCTCTCCAGTTCATAGCATCATGACACATCATCACTATAGTTCACATCATCACTACACAGTTCATAGCGTCATGACACATCATCCAATATAGTTCACATCATCACTACACAGTTCATTGCATCATGACACATCACTATAGTTCACATCATCACTACACAGTTCATGGCATCATGGTACATCATCATTAAAGTTCACATCATCACTACACAGTTCATAGCATCATGACACATCATCACTACACAATTCATAGCATGACACATCATCACTACACAGTTCATAGCATCATGACACATCATCACTATAGTTCACATCATCACTACACAGTTCATAGCATCATGACCACATCATCACTATAGTTCACATCATCGCCACCAATTCATAGCATGACGCATCATCACTACACAGTTCATGTCATAACACATCATCACTATAGTTCACATCATCACTACATACTTCATAGCGTCATGACACATCATCACTATAGTTCACATCATCACTACACAGTTCATAGCATCATGACACATCATCACTATACATTCCACATCATCACTAACCAGTTCATAGCATCAAGACACATCATCACTGATTCATCATATCCACACAATTCGCCAGCATGACACATCATCACTATAGTTCACATCATCACTACACAATTCATAACTTCCTGACACATTGTTTCACATCATCACTACACAATTCATAGCATCATGACACATCATTACTACAGTTCACATCATCACTACATAGTTCATAGCATCATGACACATCATCACTATACTTCACATCATCACTACACAATTCGCAGCATCATAACACATCATCACTATAGTTCACATCGCGGCCCTATAAGTTCACATCATCACCACCACAGTTCATAGCATCATGACACATCATCACTAGTTCACATCATCGCACTACACAATTCATAGCATCATAATAACACATCATCACTATAGTTCACATCATGACTAGTTCACATCATCACCACACAGTTCATAGCATCATGACACATCATCACTATAGTTCACATCATCACTACACAGTTCATAGCACATCATGACGCATCATCACTATAGTTCACATCATCACTACAATTCATGGCATTACACATCATCACTATAGTTCACACATCACTACACAGTTCATAGCATCATGACACAGCACTCATCACTATAGTTCACATCATCCCGCCACAATTCATAGTATCATGACACATTGTTCACATCATCACTATACAGCTCATAGCATCATGACATTGTTCATATCATCACTACACAATTCATAGCATCATAATGCATCATCACTATAGTTCACATCATCACTACACAATTCATAGCATCATGACATCATCATTATAGTTCACATTATCACTACACAATTCATAGCATCATGACACATTGTTCACATCATCACTACACAATTCACTTAGCATCATAATGCATCATCACTATAGTTCATCATCACTACACAGATCCTTAGCATCATGACACATCATCACTAAAAGTTCATCCTCCTCCACAGTTCATTGCATCATGACACATCATCACTATAGTTCACATCATCACTACAGTTCATATCATATTAACACATCATCACTATAGTTCACATCATGACTATAGTTCACATCCCCTCACTACACAGTTCGCAGCATGACACATCATCACTATAGTTCACGTCATCACTACACAGTTCATAGCATCATGACACATCATCACTATAGTTCACGTCATCACGCTACACAGTTCATAGCATCATGACACATCACATCACTGGATTCACATCCTCACTACCACAGTTCATAGCATCATGACATCATCACTAAAGTTTACATAGTCACTACACAGTTCATAGCATCATGCCATATCATCACTATAGTTCACTTTACAACTACACAGTTCATAACATCATTACACATCACTATACTTCACATCACCACTAAAAAGTTCAAAGCATCAAGACACATCATCATTATCGTTCACATCATCACTACATAGTTCATTGCATCATGACACATCATCACTGCATAGTTTATAGCATAAAGACACATTATTACTATATAGTTCACATCATCATTACACAGTTCATAGCATCAAGACACGTCATCCCTAAAGTTCACATCATCACTACACAATTTATAGCATCAAGACACATCATTTTAGTTCTCATCATTACTACACAGTTCTTAGCATCATGACACATCATCACTATAGTTCACATCAACACTGCACAGTTCTTAGCATCATGACACATCATCACTATAGTTCACATCATCACTACACAGTTCATAGCATCATGACACATCATCATTATAGTTCACATCAACACTACACAGTTCATAGCATCATGGCACATCATCACTATAGTTCACATCATCACTACACAATTCATAGCAACCTGACACATTGTTCACATCATCACTACACAGTTCATAGCATCATGACACATCATCACTATAGTTCACCTCATCACTACACAATTCATAGCATGACACATCATCACTATAGTTCACATCATCACTACACAATTCATAGCATGACACATCATCACTATAGTTCACATCATCACTACACAGTTCATAGCATCATGACACATCATCACTATAGTTCACATCATCAATACACAGTTCATAGCATCATGACACATCATCACTATAGTTCACATCATCACTACACAATTCATAGCATCCTGACACATTGTTCACATCATCACTACACAGTTCATAGCATCATGACACATCATCACTATAGTTCACCTCATCACTACACAATTCATAGCATGACACATCATCACTATAGTTCACATCATCACTACACAGTTCATAGCATCATGACACATCATCACTATAGTTCACATCATCACTACACAGTTCATAGCATCATGACACATCATCACTATAGTTCACATCATCACTACACAGTTCATAGCATCATGACACATCATCACTATAGTTCACATCATCACTACACAGTTCATAGCATCATGACACATCATCACTATAGTTCACGTCATCACTACACAGTTCATAGCATCACTTAGCTCTGTAGTAATGGGGAGGCTCTTACTACATTTATTCACAGATGCCTGAGGTGCCTGGGGCTCCTCGGGTGCCTTTATCATATTTCTATAAAACTTAATCTTATTTAAAAAAAATGGCTGATCTACACAAAAGATTTTTACAAGAATCCGTTCGCCAACTCAGTCGCATGGACGACGAGTTAGCTGAGGCGCACAAAACTATAAGTGCTATCAAAATAGTGGGCTTCGGTGTTAGTGTCGAGATACCCCCCAACACAAACCTCAACTTTGTGTTGGATAAAATAAAAAATTTGGGAGACCTCAGAAACCACAATAGAACCATTGTGGAAGCATGCGTCTACCTCCGATAGAAGGTAAGCAAGCTAAAATATATCCCAGACAATGGCGTAATGTATTATTTTTCCGCCCTGTGCGGAAAACAAACTAAGAAAGGTTATGATAAATTTGAATATGTCGTGTATCCTCCATTGGAGTTGTTCGACTTCAAAATATTCTTTGCAAAAGAATCGTTCAATACAGAAACGTTGACAAATTTGCATAATTTTTGTGCCAAGTCGCTGGCAAGTCTCGCCAAGCGCCTGGCCCCCTGCCCCCATGTAGATGACCCTCCCAAGGCGGTCACCGAAGGGGACGCTCCCCACGCGGTCGCCGAAGGGGACGCTTCCCAGGTGGTTGCCGGAGGGGACACTCCCCAGGCCGTCGCCGAAGAGGACGCTCCCCAGTCCGTCGCCGAAGGGGACGCTCTCCAGGCCGTCGCCGAAGGGGACGCTTCCCAGGCCGTCGCCGAAGGGGATGCTTCCCAGGCCGTCGCTGAAGGGGACGCTTCCCAGGCCGTCGCTGAAGGGGACACCCCACAGGTCGCTGAAGGGGACGCCCCCCAGGACGTCGCCGAAGGAGACGCCTCCCAGGCCGTCGCCGAGAACGTCCTCCAGGCCGTCGCCGAAGGAGACGCCTCCCAGGCCGTCGTCGAGGACGTCCTCCAGGCAGTCGCCGAAGAGGACGTCGCCGAAGAGGACGCTCCCCAGGCTGTCACCGAAGTGGACGCTCCCCAGGAGGTCACCGAAGGGGACGCTCCCCAGGCGGTCACCGAAGTGGACGCTCCCCAGGAGGTCACCGAAGGGGACGCTCCCCAGGAGGTCACCGAAGGGGACACTCCTCAGGAGGTCACCGAAGGGGACGCTCCCCAGGAGGTCACCGAAGTGGACGCTCCCCAGGAGGTCACCGAAGGGGACGCTCCCCAGGAGGTCACCGAAGGGGACGCTCCCCAGGAGGTCACCGAAGTGGACGCTCCCAGGAGGTCACCGAAGGGGACGCTCCCCAGGAGGTCACCGAAGGGGACGCTCCCCAGGAGGTCACCGAAGGGGACACTCCCCAGGAGGTCACCGAAGGGGACGCTCCCCAGGAGGTCACCGAAGTGGACGCTCCCCAGGAGGTCACCGAAGGGGACGCTCCCCAGGAGGTCACCGAAGGGGACGCTCCCCAGGAGGTCACCGAAGTGGACGCTCCCCAGGCGGTCACCGAAGTGGACGCTCCCCAGGAGGTCACCGAAGGGGACGCTCCCCAGGAGGTCACCGAAGGGGACGCTCCCCAGGAGGTCACCGAAGTGGACGCTCCCCAGGAGGTCACCGAAGGGGACGCTCCCCAGGAGGTCACCGAAGTGGACGCTCCCCAGGCGGTCACCGAAGGGGACGCTCCCCAGGCGGTCACCGAAGGGGACGCTACCCAGGCGGTCACCGAAGGGAACGCTCCCCAGGCGGTCACCGAAGGGGACGCATCCCAGGCGGTCAACGAAGGGGACACTCCCCAGGCGGTCACCGAAGGAAAGCCCTGGTATGCCCCTGTAGAGCTGCTGTCCAAGCCCTGGGCCAATAAACCAACTCACTGTTAAGAATACCTTGGTCCCATGGGCCCAAGGAATCTAAAATCAAAGGCTGAGCACGCACCAAACAGAGGGGCAGAAGCCTGTAAAGCTGCTGCCCAACAGGCCGGGCCATGGTCAAGGCTCGCTGGTTGAAAACAGCTATAAAACAAAAGTGATGACTAATCCCTGTTGTTTTATTTATTTGTTTATGTTTTTGTGTAAACTAAAATAAAGTATAAATTATTATTTGTATTATTACTCCACAAATATCTTATAAAGCAACTCCTGTATACAGCTCTTACTGCACTTACTTATATCACACACGCAAAACACTGGCCCTGCTTTTTTCTGTTTTGCTGTCCAGGCATTTTTCTGGTTTGTATGTGTGTGTTAACATTCTCTTTGCCTCTCATTACTAAAGACAATATTTTTGTTTCATAAAGTTTGTACCTAAAGGTTAAATATTATCGTGATGTTGCTGTGTCGTCCAGCCATTTTCTTTATATTTTGGTCGGTCAATAAACAATTATATATTATGCTTAGGTTAGTTATAGTAATTACAAAAACAACGACAACAATGACATACTACTGCTACTACTACTACTACTACAGCAACTACTACTACAACGACTACTACTACAATTTTTTCAAAACGTCCTCCAGCCCGCCCAATAGCCATAACCTTCCGCCATTTTATTACCTTAATATTAAATATCCCAATACACAAGTAGCTATCCCATCTGTGTTGAATTAGTTGAGCTGCAGATCTATGCGGCATTCAGTGACTGTAGCCTCATATCATTATCTGCAGCTGTTGTCCATTGAGCAGAAGCCTTGCCCCTGAGGCAAGCAAAGCCGACCTAAGGAGAGAGAAAGACAGTCGACATCTCATCCAGGCTGTAACATAACTTCTAAGTTGCTGCTTCTGTTCGGAGATCACCTCCGCTAGTCTGGCGTAGAAGCATCTTGCACTTGGTCCCATCCCACCAGAGGTTGTGAACTCTAAAGGAGTGAAGCTGCCTTGATCAACGTTTTTGAGTTATCTCCCATATGCCCCTCTCTTGTCTCTACTATTATCCTTCCATTAATATATCAATACCATTATTCCTCTCCCTCACACACTCTCCTGCTCTCCTTCATTCTCCTCAATTTCCCCACTCCCTCCCCACCCCACCCCCTCCTCCTCCCCTCCCCCTCACTCTCCCTCCCCATCACACCTCACCCTCCCTCTCCCTCACACCTCCCCTGCTCTGCCCACGCTCCCTCCCTCCCTCTCCCTCTATCCCTCCCTCCCCCTCTCACTCCCTCCTCTCTCATTCTCCCTCCTTCACAGTCCCTCACTCCCTCCCCATTCCTCCCCCCTCTCCTCACAGTCCCTTCCTCCCTCCTCATCTCCCTTCACTCTGCCTCTCCTCTCTCACACCTCGTCTCCCCCTACTCCCTCCCTTCCCTCTCCCCCATCCTCCCTCACCCCTCTCACTCACATTCCTCCTCCATCTCCCTCCCTCCCTCCATCTCACTCCTGCCCTCCTCTCCCCCCATTTTTCTCTCCCCCACCCTCTCCCGTCTCCCCCACCCCTTTCTCCTCTCCCCCACCTCACTCTCCCTCACTCTCCCTCACTTCACCTCCTTTGTTCTATTGAATCCAATCTCACATATATTTTTTCTACAGCTTTGGTGCTGTCAGCTGTTGCTAGAACTGCCATTGGATTCTTCTAGCCTTTTTTCTCATGATACAGAGCGTTCTATTGGCTCTCCTAACTAGACTCGGGTTACAGGAGCGTCCTATTGGCTCTGACTCAGACCCTCAGGTTACAGAGACTCCCATTGGCTCTTCTGACTAGACTATGTGACAAGACTCCCATTGGATCTTCTGACTAGACCTCGCGTTACAGAGAGTCCTATAGGTTAATTCTGACCTCTCCTTATAAGAACATAAGAATCTAACTGGAATCTAATTTCTTTTGTGATCGCTGTTTGCAAGTTAGTTCCCTACCTCGACATTGCTAATGAGGTTTTCTCTGTTAGACAGAACTAAATCAGTATATTATTTCCCGTGTGGGTTCGGTTATATGTTGACTTAGGAAACAGTCCTGGTTGTCTCAAATCCTCTGATTCTGAGTTGTAAGGTCAGTCCAATCTATTTGGAATTCTACCTATACTGTTTATGTTTGTAGTTTAAGCAAGTACTAAGTTCTTCTATTGGATAGAGTGTGTGTGTGTGTGTGTGTGTGTGTGTGTGTGTGTGTGTGTGTGTGTGTGTGTGTGTGTGTGTCCCCGCCCACTTATTATCAAAAGCCACCTATTGGTTATTCTGATCTCTCCGCGTGCTACTGAATACTTTCTATTGGTTATTTAACACCGTGTTCGTATTACAGCGCCTCCCATTGGCTATTTAAGGCTCGGCTCGTGTTTCCAGAGTTGTCGTAATTGATTGACAAAGGGACGAGGAAGATTAAATATTGACCTTAGTTGATGAAGCGTCTAACCTCGACCTATTCCTTCCACCCTCTGTAAATTCCTCTGTTTCCCACACTCCTTATTTCGTCTCCCTTCTTTACTCCCCCTCCGTTATCTCTTACCATTTCCTTCCTCTCCACACCTTCATCATCTCCTCTCCATCCCCTTTCTCTTCTACTGTCTCACATCTCTTTTTTTTCGTTCTTCTCATCCCTTCCTCTCTTTTCTTTCTTTCCTCCCTATCTGTTTTTCCTTTCTTCTCTCTCTCTCTCTTCTTTCTCTGCTCCCTCCCATCCCTCCCTCCTTTCTTCCATCTTTCCCTCTCCTTTCTCTTTTTCTCATTCTCCCACCGCCTCTCTGCACCCTCCCTCTCATCTATTCTCTCTCTTATTCCTCTTTCCTCTTCTCGCCCACTCTTCCTCTTGATTTCATTTCTCCTTCCTTACTCTCTCTCCCTTCTCACTTCGTACTATCTCTTACTCTCCCTTTTTCTCCCTAACTCTCTCCCTACTCTTTTTTTCATATTCTCCTTCCTCTCCCTCACTCCCCCTCCCCCCGCTCTCACTCTTTCTCTCCCTTCCCTCCTTTCTCCCAGCTATCAGGTTTCTTTCCTAACATGATCAAGACAAAAGGTTTTCAAGTACCTGAGAGTCGTTTATGTAATCTCTCTCTCTCTCTCTCTCTCTCTCTCTCTCTCTCTCTCTCTCTGTGCCTCTTCCATTTTCTGTCTTATCTCTGCCTTTTTATGCCTTCCTCACCTCCTTCCACTCAACCTCTTATACCTTACCTTTCCCTTCCTCTTACCTTTCCTTTTCCCGATCACTTTCATTCTTTACCTTTCTTTTTTTCTCTCCCCACCCCTGTCTCTCTTTCCTCTAATTCCTCTCGCTTCTTTTCCACCTTCCTCTTACATCTGTTCCACCTTCTTCTCATTCCTCTTCCACCTTCTTCTCATTCCTCTTCCACCTTCTTTTCATTCCTCTTCCATCTTTGTCTCACTTCTGTTCCAACTCCTTCTCATTCTCTTCTTTCCCTGTCACCTATCATCCATCTTTCCCTTTCACACCTTGCTTTCCCCTTCCTTTCACCTCTCACTCATCTTCCTTCCTTCCCTCTTGCCCCTTTCATTTCCTAACATTCTCACCCAATACTCTTCGTCCTTTCTTTCACTCCTCCCTCCTTTTCCCTCTCATCCCTTTTACCTCCCTCCATCAATCTCCTTTCTTCCTCTCGTCCTCACCCCTTCCGTCACTTTTCCCTTTCCAGTCTCCTCTAACTCTTTGTTTTTGTTTTGTTTACCATCAACAGACAATACAGTACCGTTCCATCATTCCCTCTCCCACAATTCCTTCACACGTGTTCAGTTGTTGACAGAATTCCTAGACACTTTGGTAAACAAGTGGGTTTTAACCTCAATTTGTAGGATTTTTTTTTTTTTAGTTTTAGTTGTATAATAAATTTTATTTGTTTGATAATGTTGTTGTTGTTATTTCAAGAGAAATAGTTATATATTTTTTTGTTTGTTTGTTAAATATTGTTATTTGTTAACATAAGTTTAGAGTTTACTATTGATTAAGTTTATTATATGATTCAGGATATATGTCAGATATGGCAGGTTTTCCAGAATTTAGGCTCATGTGTACAGTATATTTGGGTTCTGTTTGTTACTCTGTTCCTTCCTTCCATTATTTGAGTAAAAAAAGAGGATAGATAGTAAAATTAGGTTGGTCACCTTCCTCATCCTCCCTCTTTTCCTCTTTTCTTCCTCACCTTCATCCTCTTTCTTCCCTCCTCCATGTCCTTCCTCTGACTTACCCTCTCTTTCTTCCTCATCTTTCTCCTTTCTTCCTCTCACCACGACCATGTTTATAACAACCACGACTGTAATCATAACCACGACTTGATTATAACCCGACTATGATTATAACAACTGCGACCGTGATTATAACAACTACGACAATGATATAACCCGACCATGATTATAGCAACCACGACTATGATTGTAACAACCGACCATGATTATAACAACCGACCACCATTATAACACCTACGACCGACTATAACACCTACGACCATGATTATAACAACCACTACTATGATTATAACACCCACGACCACGATTATAACAACCACGACTATGATTATAATAACCACGACTACGATTATAACAACCACGACCATGATTATAACACCTACGACCATGACTATAACACCATACGCCAGTTACAACCACTACTATGATTATAACAAACACTACTGATTATAACACCACGACCATGATTAACAACCACGACTATGATTATAACAACCACGACCATGATTATAACAACCATGACTATGATTATGACAACCACGATTATGATTATAACACCCACGACATGATTATAACAACCACGACCATGATTATAACAACCACGACCATGATTATAACAACGACCATGATTATAACAACCACGACCTCATTATAACAACCGACCATGTTTTCTCATATACTATAGGAATAGCTGTGTTGAGTTCTGTTCTGGGCAGCCGAAACGGCACAATCATTTTTCATCAAACTTGGTGGAAAAATCGCAAAAACTCGTATAGTGGAGCAAACCTGGTCCCATGTCGATGGTCTCTTTAGGAAGACATTAATTAACCATTTTATTTACGCTGGAAAACGATGTCGCTGTACGCTGCTAGCCTTCCGGCGGTTGTGCGCTTTCCGCAGGCATTCGAACTTTTACGCTTTGGTAAACTGTACCGACGGACTCACCACCGGGCACGAAGTGCCCACGATCACTGTATCACATATGTACAGGACTGGTATTACCTGGCTATAAATAACACTTTAAAATACACCTTCTTAATTCATAGCATCATAATGCATCATCACTATAGTTCATCATCACTACACACAATTCATAGCATCATGACACATCATCACTATAGTTCACATTATCACTACACAATTCATGTCATGACACATTGTTCACATCATCACTACACAATTCATAGCATCATAATGCATCATCACTATAGTTCACATCATCGCACACACAGTTCATAGCATCATGACACATCATCACTTTATAGTTCACATCCTCCTCTCCAGTTCATAGCATCATGACACATCATCACTATAGTTCACATCATCACTACACAGTTCATAGCGTCATGACACATCATCCAATATAGTTCACATCATCACTACACAGTTCATTGCATCATGACACATCACTATAGTTCACATCATCACTACACAGTTCATGGCATCATGGTACATCATCATTAAAGTTCACATCATCACTACACAGTTCATAGCATCATGACACATCATCACTACACAATTCATAGCATGACACATCATCACTACACAGTTCATAGCATCATGACACATCATCACTATAGTTCACATCATCACTACACAGTTCATAGCATCATGACCACATCATCACTATAGTTCACATCATCGCCACCAATTCATAGCATGACGCATCATCACTACACAGTTCATGTCATAACACATCATCACTATAGTTCACATCATCACTACATACTTCATAGCGTCATGACACATCATCACTATAGTTCACATCATCACTACACAGTTCATAGCATCATGACACATCATCACTATACATTCCACATCATCACTAACCAGTTCATAGCATCAAGACACATCATCACTGATTCATCATATCCACACAATTCGCCAGCATGACACATCATCACTATAGTTCACATCATCACTACACAATTCATAACTTCCTGACACATTGTTTCACATCATCACTACACAATTCATAGCATCATGACACATCATTACTACAGTTCACATCATCACTACATAGTTCATAGCATCATGACACATCATCACTATACTTCACATCATCACTACACAATTCGCAGCATCATAACACATCATCACTATAGTTCACATCGCGGCCCTATAAGTTCACATCATCACCACCACAGTTCATAGCATCATGACACATCATCACTAGTTCACATCATCGCACTACACAATTCATAGCATCATAATAACACATCATCACTATAGTTCACATCATGACTAGTTCACATCATCACCACACAGTTCATAGCATCATGACACATCATCACTATAGTTCACATCATCACTACACAGTTCATAGCACATCATGACGCATCATCACTATAGTTCACATCATCACTACAATTCATGGCATTACACATCATCACTATAGTTCACACATCACTACACAGTTCATAGCATCATGACACAGCACTCATCACTATAGTTCACATCATCCCGCCACAATTCATAGTATCATGACACATTGTTCACATCATCACTATACAGCTCATAGCATCATGACATTGTTCATATCATCACTACACAATTCATAGCATCATAATGCATCATCACTATAGTTCACATCATCACTACACAATTCATAGCATCATGACATCATCATTATAGTTCACATTATCACTACACAATTCATAGCATCATGACACATTGTTCACATCATCACTACACAATTCACTTAGCATCATAATGCATCATCACTATAGTTCATCATCACTACACAGATCCTTAGCATCATGACACATCATCACTAAAAGTTCATCCTCCTCCACAGTTCATTGCATCATGACACATCATCACTATAGTTCACATCATCACTACAGTTCATATCATATTAACACATCATCACTATAGTTCACATCATGACTATAGTTCACATCCCCTCACTACACAGTTCGCAGCATGACACATCATCACTATAGTTCACGTCATCACTACACAGTTCATAGCATCATGACACATCATCACTATAGTTCACGTCATCACGCTACACAGTTCATAGCATCATGACACATCACATCACTGGATTCACATCCTCACTACCACAGTTCATAGCATCATGACATCATCACTATGGTTACGTCATCACTACACAGTTCATAGCATCATGACATCATCACTATAGTTCATCATCGCTACACAGTTCATAGCATCATAACTTACATCATCACTATAGTTCACATCATCACTACACGGTTCATCATAAAACATCATCACTATAGTTCACATCATCACTATAGTTCACGTCATCACTACACAGTTCATAGCATCGACACATCATCGTATAGTTCACATCATCACTACACAGTTCATAGCATCATGACACATCATCACTATAGTTCATCATCACTACACAGTTCATAGCATCATAACACATCATCACTATAGTTCACATCACTCACTACACAGTTCATAGCATCATGACACATCATCACTATAGTTCACATCCTCATACACATTTCATAGCATCATGACACATCATGACTATAGTTCATCCTCACTACACAGTTCATACCATCATGGCACATCATCACTATAATTCACGTCATCACTACCACACAGTTCATAATGTGACACATCATCACTATAGTTCACATCCTCACTACACAGATCCCATAGCATCATGACACATCATCACTAAAGTTCATCACTCTCTCCACAGTTCATTTGCATCATGACACATCATCACTATAGTTCATCATCACTACACAATTCATAGCATCATAACACATCATCACTATAGTTCACATCATGACTATAATTTTACATCCTCACTACACAGTTCATAGCATCATGACACATCATCACTAAAGTTCACATCCACTCACTCCACAGTTCATTGCATCATGACACATCGCCACTATAGTTCATCATCACTACGCAGTTCATAGCATCATGACACATCATCACTATAGTTCATCATCACTACACAGTTCATTACATCATGACACATCATCACTATAATTCATCATCACTACACAGTTCATAGCATCATGACACATCATCACTAAGTTTCACATCCTCACTACACAATTCGCAGCATCATAATGCATCATCACTATAGTTTACAGCATCACTACACAGTTCATAGCATCATGACACATCATCACTAAAATTCACATCCTCATTCCACAGTTCATTGCATCATGACACATCATCACTATAGTTCATCATCACTACACACAGTTCATTGCATCATGACACATCACATCCACTACGGTTTCCATCATCACTACACAGTTCATTACATCATGACACATCATCACTATAGTTCGTCCATCACCACACAGTTCATAGCATCATAGCTCTGTGTAGTAATGGGGGAGGCTCTTTACTACATTTATTCACAGATACTTAATGGTGCCTGGGAATATCTCGGGTGCCTGTATTATATTTCTATAAAACTTAATTTTGTTGACGCAAAATGGTTGATCTACACAAAAGATTTTTTACGAATCCGTTAATAACTCAGTCGCATGTGGACGACGGAGTTGTAGCTGAGCCTTACAAAAATATAAGTGCTATCAAAATAGTGGGCTTCGGTGTTGGTGATAAGATACCCCCCAACACAAACCTCAACTTTGTGTTGGATAAAATAAAAAGATTTGGAAGACCTCAGATACCACAATAGAACCATTGTGGAAACGTGCGTCTACCTCCGATAGAATTAAGCAAGCTAAAATATATCCCAGACAATGGCGTAATGTATTATTTTCCGCTCTGTGCGGAAAAACAAACTAAAAGGTTATGATAAATTTGAATATCGTGTATCCTATCCTCCATTGGAGTTGTTCGACTTCAAAATATTCTTTTACAAAAAGACTTGTTTAATACAGAAACGTTGAAAAGTTACATAATTTTTGTGCTAACTGCTGGCGAGTTTCTGCAAGCGCCTGGCCCCCTGCCCCATGTAGATGACGCTCCCATGGTGGTCACCGAAGGACGCTCCCCACGCGGTCGCAGAAGGACGCTTCCCAGGTGGTCGCCGAAGGATGCTCCAGGCCGTCGCCGAAGAGGACGCTCCCCAGGCCGTCGCCGAAGAGGACGATCCCCAGGCCATCGCCGAAGAGGACGCCCCAGCGCCGTCGCCGAAGGACGCTCCCCAGGCCGTCGCCAAGGGGACGCTCCCAGGCCGTCGCCGAAGGGGACGCTCCCAGGTCGCCGAAGAGGACGCCCCCAGACCGTCGCCAAAGGGATGCTCCCAGCTGTCGCCGAAGGTGACGCTCCCCAGTCCGTCGCCGAAGAGGAGGCTCCCCAGGCCGTCGCCGAAGAGGACGCCCCCAGGCTGTCGCCGAAGAGACGCTCCCCAGACCGTCGTCGAAGGGGACGCTCCCCAGCCGTCGCCGAAGGACCCTACCCAGGCCGTCGCCGAAGGACGCTTCCAGGCCGTCGCCGAATGGGACGCTCCCAGGCCGTCGCCGAAGGGACCTTCCCAGGCCGTCGCCGAAGGGGACGCTCCCCAGGCTGTCGCCGAAGGGACGCTACCGAGGCCGTCGCCGAAGGGCTCCCCGGCCGTCGCCGAATGGGACGTTCCCCAGGCCGTCCCCGAAGGGACGCTTCCCAGGCCGTCGCCGAAGGGGAAACCCCACAGGTCGCCGAACGGACGCCCCAGGCCGTCGCCGAAGGACGCCTCCCAGGCCGTCGCCGAAGGAGACGCCTCCCAGGCCGTTGCCGAAGGACCCCCCAGGTAGCCGAAGAGGATGCCCCCAGGTGGTCGCCGAAAGGACGTTCCCCAGGTGGTCGCCAAGGAACGTTCCAGGCGGTCACCGAAGGGGACGCTCCCCAGGCGGTCACCGAAGGGGACGCTCCCCAGAAGGTCGCCGAATGGGACGCTCACCAGGCCGTCGCCGAGAGGGACACTCCCCAGGCGGTCACCGACGGGGACGCTCCCCAGAAGGTCGCCGAATGGGACGCTCACCAGGCCGTCGCCGAGAGGGACGCTCCCCAGGCGGTCACCGAAGGGGACGCTCCCCAGAAGGTCGCCGAATGGGACGCTCACCAGGCCGTCGCCGAGAGGGACACTCCCCAGGCGGTCACCAAAGAGGAAGCTCCCCAGGCTGTCACCGGAGGGAAAGCTCCCCGTAGAGCTGCTGTCCAAATGCCCTGGGCCAATAAACCAATTCACCAGGCCAAGAATACCTTGGTCCCAGGGGCCCAAGGTAATCTAAAATCAAAGGCTGAGCACGCACCAAACAGAGTGGCAGAAGCCCGTAAAGCTGCTGCCCAACAGGGCCGGGCCATGGTCAAGGCTCGCCGGTTGAAAACAGCTATAAAACAAAAGTGATGACTAATCCCCGTTGTTTTATTTATTTGTTTATGTTTTTGTGTAAACTAAAAATAAAGTATGAATTAATATTATTTGTATTATTACTCCACAAATATCTTATAAAGCAACTCCTGTATACAGCTCTTACTGCACTTACTTATATCACACACGCAAAACACTGGCCCTGCTTTTCTGTTTTGCTGTCCAGGCATTTTTCTGGTTTGTATGTGTAAGAAAGGTTAACATTCTCTTTGCCTCTCATTACTAAAGACAATATTTGTGTTTCTCATAAAGTTTGTACCTAAAGGTTAAATATTATCGTGATGTTGCTGTGTCGTCCAGCCATTTTCTCTATATTTTGGTCGGTCAATAAACAATTATATATTATGCTTAGGTTAGGTTATAGTAATTACAGAAACAACGACAACAATGACATACTACTACTACCACTACTACTACTACAGCAACTACTACTACCACGACTACTACTACAATTTCTTTTTTCAAAACGTGGCCTCCAGCCTCGCCCAATAGCCATACCTTCGCCGCCATTTTATTACCTTAATATTAAATATCCTAATACATAAGTAGCTATCCTATCTGTGTTGAATTAGTTGAGCCGCAGATCTATGCGGCATTCAGTGACTGTAGCCTCATAGTCATTATCTGCAGCTGTTGTCGGCATTGAGGCAGAAGCTCTCGTTCCCCTGAGGCAAAGCAAAGCCGACCTAAGGAGAGAGAAAGACAGTCGACATCTCATCCAGGCTGTAACATAACTTCTGGGCTGCTGCTTCTGTTCGGAGATCACCTCCGCTAGTCTGGCGTAGAAGCATCTTGCACTTGGTCGCATCCCACCAGAGGTTGTGAACACTAAAGGAGTGAAGCTGCCTTGATCAACGTTTTGAGTTATCTCCCCATATGCCCTTCTCTTGTCTCTACTATTATCCTTCCATTAATATATAAATACCATTATTCCTCTCCCTTACACACTCTCCCTGCTCTCCTTCATTCTCCATCAATTTCCTTACCTCCTCTACCTCCCTCCCTCCCTCCCTCCCTCCCTCCCTCCCTTTCTCCTCCCATCCCCACACTCCCCTCCTCCCTCCACCTCCCTCCCTGCCCCTGCCTCCACTCCTCCTCCCTCTCCTCTGTCCTCCTCTGACCTTCCTCCTCCCTCTCTCCATTCCCTCCTTTGCAGTCCCTCCTCCCCTCCCTCATTCCCTCCCCCTCTACAGTCCTTCACTCCTCCTCCATCTCCTTCCTCTGCCTTCCCTCTCCCTCCCCTCCTCTGCTCGTCTCCTCTACTCCACATTCTCCCTCCCCTCCATCCCCTCCTCCCCCTCTCCCTCACTCTACCCCCTCCCCCCCATCTCCTTCACACATACAACCCCAGTTGGCTCACCTTGACAACACTACACCGAATCCAATCTCACATATATTTCTTTTCTACAGCTTTGGTGCCGTCAGCTGTTGCTAGAAATCCGGCCATTGGCTTCTCTAGCCTTTTTTCATGATACAGAGCGTTCTATTGGCTCTCCTGACTAGACCTCGGGTTACAGAGCGTTCTATTGGCTCTCCTGACTAGACCTCGGGTTACAGAGATTCCTATTGGCTTTCCTGACTAGACCTCGGGTTACAGAGCGTCCAATTGGCTCTCCTGACTAGACCTTCTGTTACAGTGCGTCCTATTGGCTCTCCTGACTAGACCTCGCGTGACAAAGACTCCCATTGGATCTTCTGACTAGACCTCGCGTTACAGAGACTCTTATTGGTTAATTCTGACCTCTCCTTATGTTACAGAGGATTCTATTGGATAGTGTGTGTGTGTGTGTCCCCGCCCACTTATTATCAAAAGCCACCTATGGTTATTCTGATCTCTCCGCGTGCTACTGAATACTTTCTATTGGTTATTTAACACCGTGTTCGTATTACAGCGCCTCCCATTGGCTATTTAAGGCTCGGCTCGTGTTTCCAGAGTTGTCGTAATTGATTGACAAAGGGACGAGGAAGGTTAAATATTGACCTTAGTTGATGAAGCGTCTAATCTCGACCTATTCCTTCCACCCTCTCTAAATTCCTCTGTTTCCCACACCCCTTATTTCGTCTCCCTTCTTTACTCCCCCTCCGTTATCTCTTACCATTTCCTTCCTCTCCCCACCTTCATCATCTCCTCTCCATCCCCTTTCTCTTCTACTGTCTCACATCTCTTTTTTTTTCGTTCTTCTCATCCCTTCCTCTCTTTTCTTTCTTTCCTCCCTATCTGTTTTTCCTTTCTTCTCTCTCTCTCTCTCCTTTCTCTGCTCCCTCCCATCCCTCCCTCCTTTCTTCCATCTTTCCCTCTCCTTTCTCTTTTTCTCATTCTCCCACCGCCTCTCTGCACCCTCCCTCTCATCTATTCTCTCTCTTATTCCTCTTTCCTCTTCTCGCCCACTCTTCCTCTTGATTTCATTTCTCCTTCCTTACTCTCTCTCCCTTCTCACTTCGTACTATCTCTTACTCTCCCTTTTTCTCCCTAACTCTCTCCCTACTCTTTTTTTCATATTCTCCTTCCTCTCCCTCACTCCCCCTCCCCCCGCTCTCACTCTTTCTCTCCCTTCCCTCCTTTCTCCCAGCTATCAGGTTTCTTTCCTAACATGATCAAGACAAAAGGTTTTCAAGTACCTGAGAGTCGTTTATGTAATCTCTCTCTCTCTCTCTCTCTCTCTCTCTCTCTCTCTCTCTCTCTGTGCCTCTTCCATTTTCTGTCTTATCTCTGCCTTTTTATGCCTTCCTCACCTCCTTCCACTCAACCTCTTATACCTTACCTTTCCCTTCCTCTTACCTTTCCTTTTCCCGATCACTTTCATTCTTTACCTTTCTTTTTTTCTCTCCCCACCCCTGTCTCTCTTTCCTCTAATTCCTCTCGCTTCTTTTCCACCTTCCTCTTACATCTGTTCCACCTTCTTCTCATTCCTCTTCCACCTTCTTCTCATTCCTCTTCCACCTTCTTTTCATTCCTCTTCCATCTTTGTCTCACTTCTGTTCCAACTCCTTCTCATTCTCTTCTTTCCCTGTCACCTATCATCCATCTTTCCCTTTCACACCTTGCTTTCCCCTTCCTTTCACCTCTCACTCATCTTCCTTCCTTCCCTCTTGCCCCTTTCATTTCCTAACATTCTCACCCAATACTCTTCGTCCTTTCTTTCACTCCTCCCTCCTTTTCCCTCTCATCCCTCACTCACCACGACCATGATTATAACAAATCCACGACCAATTATAACCACGACATTGATTATAACAACCACGACGCTATGATTATAAATAATTGCGACTGTGATTATAACAACTACGACAATGATCACAACTCCATGACTATGATTACAGCAACCACGACTATGATTGCAATAAACCACGACTCATGATTATAAATAAATCCGACGACCTTTCATGGACGGTAAACACCTACGACCATGACTATACCGACCTACGACCATGATTATAACAACCACTACTATGATTATATCAACCACGACTATGATTATAACAACCACGACTATGATTATAACAACTATGACTATGAGATTATAGACAACCACGATTATGATTATAACACCCACGACCATGATTATAAAATTCACGATTTATGGATGGTAAATAACACACCATGATTATAACAACCACGACCTTTATGATTATCTCATATACTATAGGAATAGCTGTGTGTGTGTGTTCGTTCTGGGCAGCCGAAATGTCAATCATTTTTCATCAAACTTGGTGGAAAATCGTAAAAATTTTGCTAGTGGAGCAAACCTGGTCCCATGTCGATGGTTTCTTTTAGAAGGCATAATTAAATCATTTTATTTACGTTGGAAACGATGTCATGCTGTTAGCCTTCTGGCGGTTATGCATACGAGTATTCGAACTTTACGCTTTTGGTAACTGAATTTCACCGATTCTCACTACCGGGCACGAAGTGCCCACTATCACTTGTATCACATATGTACAGGACTGTATTACTCGCTATAAATAACACTTAAAATAGTCCAACTCTCTCACACCCAAACACTGGCCCTGCTTTTCTGTCTTGCTGTCCAGGCATTCATATCATCACACATCATCACTAAAGTTCACATAATCACCACACAGTTCATAGCATCATGCCATATCAGTCACTATAGCTTACTTTACACCACACAGTTCATAACATCATGACACATCATCACTGTACTTCTCATGACATCACTCTTCAACCAGTCTATAGCATCAAGACACATCATCATTAAAGTTCACATCAATACTTCATAGTTCATTGCATCATGACACATCATCACTGCACAGTTTATAGTATAAAGACACATTATTACTTTATATAGTTCACATCATCATTACACAGTTCTTATAGCATCAAGACATCACCACTATAGTTCACATCATTACTACACAGTTCATAGCATCATGACACATCATCACTATAGTTCACATCATCACTACACAGTTCATAGCATCATGACACATCATCACTATACTTCCACATCATCACTAACCAGCTTATAGCATCAAGACACATCATCACTTCAGCAGTTCACATCATCTCTCTACACAATTCATAGCATGACACATCATCACTATAGTTCACATTATCACTAGCACAATCTAGTAGCATCATGACACATCATCACTACTGTCTACATCATCACTACACAATTCATAGCATCCTGACACATTGTTCATATCATCACACACATTCATAGCATCATGACACATCACTACAGTCTACATCATCACTACACAATCTATAGTAATCATAATGCATCATCACTATAGTCTGATCATCACTACATTGTGTCTTCATAGCATCATGACATCATCACTATAGTTTCACATCCTCACTAATTTCTAGTCTTGGCAGCATCATGACATGACTTCATCACTACATTGTGTCTATATAGCATTATGACACATCAATTATAGTCTACATCATCACATAGTTGCATCATCACATCACTACACAGTCTATAGCATCATGACACATCA